GAAGATCACGTGGCCATTTTCGTTTTAGACGACGGGGAGGGTTGTCAGGTAGGGTTTTAGATGCTAGCTTGGCGACTAGAGGATTAGGATGATTTAGGACATTTTTGTGGAAGTTATTGTAGTTGTACAAAGCTARTGCAGATATCGTTGGAACGTTGAGATCATGGTGTAGGGATCTGTTACTTACATACCAATTATTAGCTTTAAAAAAAGTATTACATTTTTACAATATTACGTGTTATGGTAAAATTTGATTTGTTTAAGGTATAAAATTATGTGTTGGTAGTTTAAAAATGGACCAATTGCTTCGTACARGTTGTCAGGAGTGTTAAAKTCTTTCTTAGCTTCATTGTCATCAGTAAAATTATTATTTATTATACATCATACAATGTAGGTATTTATGCGAAAACATATTGATAGATTGATGTAAAATAATTCTGAATTCGAAATAACCTATCTGGTTTAAACTAGTACTGCCATCCCTTATTGCAATACCTCGCCCCGTTTCAACASAACTTGTATAAATCTATTATTTTCACGTTTTGTTAATATATTTTAGTACTTATAAAATACAGGAACAAAATGGAGGTAAGAATTCGTTTGCTTTAATTTGCTTTTTAAAAAGTACTTTAACTACTAAAATAATAGACCATCATGTTAATCTGAGATTTGACTTGACTGATAGTAATGTCCGGAATTCCTGATATTATAAGTGTTGTGTGATTATTAAAGAGAATATCACATTCAAAATCACCCACATGTTATCTCTATAGGGATTTTATTAGGTATATCCATATTAGGATGTCTAACATTATTTTACATTAAATTTACAACAAGTTTAAATTTAAAATGACTATTGTAAAAATATGTACTTACCTACTTTTAATTAAAAACAAGATTTTTCAAAATTATTTATGTATCGTGTAGGAGTGGTGGTTATATACGTGATACGTCATATACTGCAGCGGTACCGATTAAAATCTAGTTTAAACTCAAGACTGCAGCATGACACAGTTTCATCATCAAACATCGTTCATTAATGTCATATTGTTGTGTTTACGTTTTCAGTATTTGGACTTTGACAATTTACCGGACACGAATTTCTCATGCGACGGCAAAGTCATCGGAGGTTATTACGCGGACGTGGAGACCGGCTGTCAGATGTTTCATGTTTGCACCATTGGTCAAAAAGGTAAGAGAGAAATATAAACAAAAAACAAAACCCAACCCAATTCGATTTTTCGCAGAGACAACTTTCTTCCGACACGCGAGTCAGTCGGCTATTACAGCCGCTATACTCGGTTGTATAACCGGAGCAATCCAGTTATCGTGATTTACATAAAAAAAAAAAAAAAACGCCACACGCGTTATTACCTGCAACTCCGGCTGCCGCAGAAGTCTATGTTATATTTTTGCTCGTATATAAAAGATAATATAATATATGAATATATTATTATATGAGAGTTTATTTTACATGCAGCTAATCCTCTATAGGTATATATGTTACACACGGGTATACTTGGGATCGCATATAATACATATGTTTATCAGTATAGGGCGTGGGGCACTAAAGGCCGTAGGGTAATACTATATAATAATATCATATAGGTATGTATACACTATATATACATATGTTATAATAATATTGTTTATAAGCTGTGAGCGCATAATATATAATATCATAGGTACGCGTACCATGATACGCAATCCCATGTCGGCTGGATCTTTATAAAATTATTCGTGTACACCTATATGCATATATAGGTGTACCTACGTGTAAAACGATCAAAACGGATATTATATATTATTATATCGTATACAAACAGGGTGATCGCGCGAAGGTGTGAGACGTTCAAACGTGATTCCAAYGTGTAAGATCGTCAGATGTTTTTCCATACACCCTGCAGTATTTACAGGTATTCAATACAATAAAGTACACGGGGCGAAGACGAAAACGATCGACGTCGAAAYGATAATATACCATATTATACGTCTCGATAAAAAGCTCCGCGAATGAATATCAGTGGGCGCTTATACCACATAATATTATTATATTATTATGTATCTATACCTACTGCAGTCTCTCCGAGTCTAATGGATGGCGTCTTCTTTTCACACGCTTATTTACACACACGAGGTGGATATGTTTATAGGTATCGTGTATATATATATATATATGGCATAATGACATTACACAATTTCCATTTTATCCGCGAAAAGCACTAAATACGCGTGTATCAGCTTCGACGTTTTCCGAGAGCGCGTGTGTTTATGTTATATATTTAAGTTTATATAGCATACCTATATACTATTACAACGACGGCGGTCGAAAAGGTCACGGATATACTTAGATACGTTAAAATGCTAAACACTGCACTGCTGTGTACCGTTTATTTATATGTATCTATAGAGTTTGTGTTTATCGTCTAATAACACACGATCGAATCGTACCCATATAAATATGCTGTTTCTTAAATCGCGCTACATAAGATTTCTGATTCGAGAGTGATTTACAATAGGTACACATAATATATTACACTATATCGTTATGTGCGGTATGTGTGTACCCACTTAAATATTATTACACTAAATAATAATAGCATAAAACAC